TATCAAACATTTAATCACAATCAGGACTGATTATATTCAATTGAGATATAATGTTGAAGATTTCATGTTTTTTGACAGACTTCTTACAGGGGTTAGTAAAGATTGGTTGTCTTTTATAAAGAATTGAATGAATGCAATAGAGAAGGATGAGAATACTAGAACACTTAAAGATAATTTCATGAGATTGTGTTGAGATGTTCTTCTACAATTGCCAGCTACTGATGAACCTTCCACCTCTGATGAAAGAACCCCTGCAAATAATGCTCAAGATTTCAATAGAAAGGATAAAAAGAATAAGAAGAAGAAGAAGATCTCTGAGAACAAGAACAAAGATTTCATCAAGTCAGATAGAAAGGGTAATAATGCTATCAAAACATGTTATCATTGTCAGAAGATTGGCCACATTCAAACAGATTGCTGGTTGAAATTTCCTGAAAAATGCTCTACTAGCCGCGGTAAGAATAAGAATAAGGATAAGAATAAGAATGAAACAGGCTCAGTGCCAGTTTATAATGTCATTGAGTAAGTATTTCATACAACAGAAACAGTCTATTCTACTGGTCAAACTGACAAAGATATCTGGGTTCTGAACTCTGAATCTGGTGCCCATGCTACACCTTGCAAGAATCTCATATCAATAGTGCTGCAGAAGATTAATGTCATACTGAAGATGACTGACAGATTGACAGCTTCTGCAACAGCTATAGAGAAGGTGAATATATCAGTTGAAGAAGCAAATCTACTGCTGCAGAACATCTACTACATTCCCAAGCTGAAGATTAATCTTATGAGTTTTAAGAAGCTTGTATATCAGAGCTATACATATAAGTAACTGATCTATGAAAACACTCATTCAATCTTGCTAATCTCTCCTGACAAGATATTGAGTTTTACTGCTAAATTGAGTGATAAGAATATCTACATTCTGAAAAAACAATTAATGACTAGAGACTTGATTAGATTCACAATGTCAAATGATGAATTTAAATCTGTAAAAATTCTACAGTCTGCAGAGAGAAAAGATCCCCTGCTAGTATTACTCAATAAGAATATTAAGATTGTTGAACACATAATGTTACAATGGCATCAAAAGCTTGGTCATCTCAACCCCGCGGATATTGCTAAATTAGCAGCAGATTCACAACTGAGAATGAGAATCAAGAATGACAGAGCTTTGTCATTCTGCAAGATCTGTGTACAGGTAAAAATGACATGTTCAATCTTCACATCTATAATATGAGCTGTTAAGCTGGTAATGAGATTCTTCATTGATCTGACAGAGGGTGGAAAAACACTTTTTGACAGAAATGACACTCTCACTAGAGAAGGTACAAGCTACTGATTGAGTATAATGAATGATACAATCTGTTATAGATGAACAATTCTTATAATGAGAAAGAGAGAATCTACTACAAGATTAATGAATTTCATCACAGATATTGAGATAACTATACAATATTGAGTTAGAACTCTACACTGAGATAATGAAGAAGAGTTCAAAAGTCAAGAACTTAAGATCTACTATCAGAGTAAAGAAATAGTATATAAAATGACTACATCTGACATATCATAATTGAATGACTCAGTGAAACACATGAATTGAATAGTTGCAGAAAAGACATGAAGTCTACTATTTAATAGTGAATTAGAAAGAGAACTTTGAGATGAAGTAATATAAACTGTGATTATGATGATCAACACATTCTCAACATTAATAAAGATATTTAAATGTAAGAAAGAAACATCACTTACATCTTTTAAAGCATGAACTGAGATGCAATCTTCTGTTCATTGAATATGAAGATGAGAGTGCAAGATCTATAAGAAGGATTTGAAAGTGTTGAATAAGCTCATGAATAGAACTGATAGTAAGAAATAACAGCTGATTGATTATCAAGAATTACATTAATATTATATATGAGATTCTGTTGCATGTTATCTTGAGATTACATGAGACATTATATTTAATGAAGCTCTTGACATGAGTGCAAATACATCTGTGAATACAGTGAGAGAATTCAATGAATTGTCTAATAAATTGAATATTCTAAATATCAGAGAGAAATGACAGCACTGCTTATTATAACATCTAGTGAAGAAAAAGTCAGATATTTTGAAGATGATTATTAATAAGAACTTAGAGAGTGTAATTAATTCAATCTATCTTCTAAATAATAAGACACAGCTTATCATGAATGAAAAGTCTGAAGACTTTATTAATAAGAATAATTCTATTCTAAGTGTTCTGATAGACTGATTAACTACACTGACAGAAGTTAAAAGAAGCTCAGACTGAGATTATTAATATAAGATAATGAAAAAGAAGATTAAGATATTTAAATAGAAGAAGATATATATTATTATTGAGAAGACTCTGAAAATGAATATTCTTACAGATAAATAAGTATATGATTGAAAATGCAATAATAAGAGAGAAATCATTCATTTTAGAGCTTACTAAGTGATTAGAGAGTTCTTACAACAGCAGAATATTTATTATATAAAATTATATACTGCAGTGATATCAGAGTCTATATCACACAGTCTATTTACTATATCAACTGTCAAAGAATGAAAGATCAAATCAATTAATTATATATCTGTGTTTTTGAATGACATACTATCACAGAATAAGATGATTTATATACAACTACTCACAGATGTTAAGCACAGCAGAGAGAACTTGATGAGATTACTCTGTCAGAGTCTATATAGAATGAAGTAAGCTATAAGAATATGATATTTTCTTACAATAGAGCATCTGACTACATTGAGATTCAAGATATTATTTTATAACAGCAGATTTCTATATTACTCTGTTTACAAGATCTATCTGATATTATATATTAATGATTATCAGATGATAGAATCTCAAGAACAGTAATTAAACTGAGTATTAAGAGAGATTGTAAAGAGATTTGAGATAAAGAATGTTGAAAAGATTAAGTTATATCTTGAAATAGAGATTAAATGTCAGAGAAATAATGATCTAGTAATTACACAGAGCTGTTATATTAAGAAAATTCTTGAAGATTTCAGTATAAATAAGATGAATTCTGTGAAGATCTCTATGATAGCAGGTATATGACTGGAATTTTCACCTGATGAGAATGATAAATTGAATGATAACTTTACAGCTATGAGATATTATTAAGAATTGAAATCATTGCAGTATTTAGTCTCAAGCAGCTGATCAGATCTAGCATTCACAGTTAACTATCTCTCACATTTTAACTCATATTCATACAAAGCATGTTAAGCAGTGTTGAAGCATGTTCTATATTATATCAAGAAGATAAAAAATCATGACATATTATACAAGAAGAAGATAGAAGATGATCTGAGTTCTGTGATATACTGTGATTCAGATTGAGCAGGAGTGAATCCTCAATATAAATTGACTACTGACTATATTATATTAATTAACAGGTCACTGATCTTATAGCAGTTGCAGAGACAGACATCTATTACTAAATCAATCACAGAAGCTGAATATATTACAGCTAGTGAGACAGCTTGTAAGATAATCTGATTGAATGATATATTAAATAATACTGAGTTAATGAATGATGAAAAAGTGAAAATATACTTATATCTATAAGTTGATAATAAGGAAGTAATTGATCTAGCAAAGGAAGAATTCTTAATATGAAGATTATATTATATTGAGATTAGATATCATATTCTTCACAATTTGATTGAAAAAGAAGAAATCATTATAAAACATATTAATTCTACAGTGAATATAGCTGACAGGCTCACCAAGTCACTGATGAAGCCTGTGTTTGAAGATTTTATCAAAAGAATTAATTTGAAAGAGATCAGAAAGAAATGATTGAATAATAATAATAATACAGTGAATCAGTGAATTTTGCATGTATTTCTTAATTTTTACAGTTATTACTGTACAGACATCTTTCCTAATAAGGAAATCAGGGTCTGATTGATGTAATTAATTATTATTGCATTTTCAAAAGATTTGAGGATGGGGGAGGCCCCGGGTGGCGGCTTATAGGCCACGGTGTAGCAAGGGGGGTGTTGGTGATTACTACACCTACTCTAGTCACGTGCCACCCCAACCTATCCATTTAGTGTAACTCGCGTAGTTAGATTACAACACAACAACGTTATCCTCCAAGACACTATATTATGTTCTTGTAGATAGATTTATCAATACAACCTCTTCAACTATTCTACAAAGTTTTCTGTATACACAAAGCAACACGAGCGTTAGATGAGCTTGTTGATTACATTATCTTTCTGCGACTGCTGGCATCGGCCTTTGGAAGTCGTTATTTCGGACTTTTGAGTCAAGTCCTAGTTAGTTCATAGCGACTGGCATCCCTGCCACCACCCACCCCCCCCCAAAAAAAGGAAAAGAAAACAAAAAAGAAGAAGGTGCGTGAGCTCAGAGATCTGGAAGCATTCAAATCTTCTGATGAGGGGGAATCTTGTTGATCACACTGTTTTCCGCGAAGGGCCTTCTCCTCCTCCTTGTTGTTGATTGATGAGAGAATTCTGAGGGTCTCCAAGTTTGCACTCTTCCCTGAATGGTTATTTTGCATACCCTTCTAGTTAACACCATCACTGCAAAAAAAGGAGAATGGGAATAGAAGTGTGAGAGCTTACAAACAGCAAACCACACATCTGAGAAGAGTGGGATGAAGAGTAAGAAGAAGAAGAACCAGCCAAATCAAAGCATACAGTAGAATAATCTCTGAGAAGCACAGACTACAAGTATATGAAGATATTTCAAACCATGTGAAAAAATCTGGA